GCTCCGTGTAACGGCAATACAGTGTGATTTCCGTAACCTAGACGAGAACCTCGTCGAACAGTTCGTCTGCGGGGTAAAGGACATTCATCTACGCCGCCGCCTCCTGTGGCACCCCGACATCACCATGCAACAGGCCGTGGATGAAGCCAGAGCAGCTGAGCTCTCGGAGCAGTCCACGGCCGACATACAACGCATGCAGCCTCTACCGCCATCCCCTCCTGCGCTCCCTGTGTGCCCTCCGCCTGCCATGCAAGCCTGCCTCATCGATGAGCTGGTGCTGCTCGAAGACCCCAGCTCTGAACAAGTCGTCCAGCTCCGGGCTCAACCTAGACGGCCACCACCTCCGCCAGCTGCCCCTGCCACGTCTGGGTGTGTGGGTTGCGGCAGCTGCCATGCCCGCACAGCTTGCCCCTTCAAGGGTATGGTTTGCCACCGTTGCGGCAAGAAGGACCACATCGCCCAGGTCTGCCGTGCCTCCCTGCCTGCGCCGTCCTTCCTCCAGAAGCATGCCGCACCTCAAACCCAGCCGTGCCACCAGCCGCCGCGGCCCGCGAGACGGGCTGAAGACTGCTACGCTGTCAACCAGCCTGATGTTGCCGGGGAGACGCTCAGCCAGGCATCCGCCGGTGCCCAGAAGGTCTCTGCAGTGCTCCATCTGGAAGGTCAGCCCTGCCGCATGGAGGTGGACTCCGGCTCCTTCCGCTCCCTACTCTCCTGGGCCACCTTCTCCCGCCTGTGTCCCCACATCTCCTGTGACCAGCTACAGCCTGTGGACACCTCCCTCAGAGACTACCAGGGGACTCTTATTCCCACCCTGGGGTCTTTTCCCATTTGGGTGGACTATGGGGACTTTCACGGCCGTTTGCCTGTTCTCATTGTAAAAAACTCCCAGCCTGCTTTGTTGGGTCTTGATTGGTTCCCTTCCCTGGGGCTGTCCATTGGGGGGTTGCATAGGGTGGCTGCATATTCCCTGGAAGATGTCCTTACGGAATTCGCAGACATCTTTGATGGCCAGCTGGGTTCTTACAAGGGCACCCCTATTTCCCTTAACCTTGACCCCCAGGTTGCTCCAATTCAGCTGAAGGCTCGTAGGGTGCCTTTTGCCTTGAGGGCCAAGGTTGATGCCGAGCTTGATAAGCTTCTGGCGCAGGGCGTACTCGAACCCGTCGACCACTCGCGGTGGGAGACCCCGATTGTGGTCCCTGTCAAACCAGACGGGTCAGTGCAGATCTGCGCTGACTCCAAGTCGACCATCAACTTTGCCCTCCAGGCAAATCCCTATCCAGTCCCTGTCGTGCAGCACCTGCTCCATTCCCTGGAGCAGGGCTGCACATTTGCAAAACTGGATATGGCGCAGTCCTACCAACAGCTCCCGGTGGATGGCAATGTGGCGGCCGCCCAAACCATC